TGAATCTCAAATGCACTGAAGCAATGTTAACTGGAATCTGCTCACATCTTTTACATGCTCTTGTCACGTTCCAGTTCAAAGTTCAGTGGCAGTGAAGCTCAGGCTGTATTGTGATTTGTGAAAGATTCAAATGCTGAAGACTGCAGGTTAAATATACAGCATTCTTTAACTTAATGTTATACAATAATGCTGGAGTGGCTGTGTGGACATTTCAAACAGTCGACAAAACCTTCATCCCACATTCAGTCTCAGGATGATGTAGGCGATAGATCTTTCAAAATAGCATTTTGCATTTGCAGCACTGGTTTGGCTGAATGTGTAGTTTACAATCAGTGAACATCAGAAGGTCTAATCTAATGTTCCTGATTAACTTTTTGTTACTCATTAAAGTGGATTATTTCAAAGTCAGTTAATCAAGTGGCTAATTAAGGCATGTAGTCATTAACACTAATCCCTTCTCTCCCACTTGGATAAAATCCTCAATTACCAGAGCCCTGTGAGAGTATCAGAAAGACCTTAAGGCCTGTTTTCACTTTATCCCTTGATGTCTTACAAAAGAGCTGCAGGCTGTATGATTTTTATACGTCCAGTCTTTTCAGACCATTCTAGTTGTTGTGGTAATGCTACAGTGATAGGATTTCAAATTCCAGTCATCTTATACAATACAGTTTAAGTGTTTTTGTAAAAAAATTATTGTAAAATATTATTTCAACTTAAAAAAAACTGTTTCTTTTTCAAATATATTTTAAAATGTAATTTATTTCTGCAATGGCAAAGCTGAATTTCCAGTCTTCAGTGTCACACGATCCTTCAGAAATCATTCTAATATGCCGATTCGGTGCTGAAGAAACATTTATTTCTATCAATGTTGAAAACAGATGTGCTTCTTAATATAGTTTGTGGAAATTGAGATTTGTATGACTTTTCCAGTCATAAAATCTAATTTTTAAAAAGTATGCAATGTGTTGGTGACCCAGTGCTGTTCTGAAAAATCAATGTCTTAAAATTCACTTTTAGTGATACGTTGACAATTGTGCATTATTTGAAACTCTTCTTTTTGTTCTCCATGTGAAAGCCTTTCTTCACGCTCTTCCAGTTGTGATCCATCTGGTGGAATACTTCATATCTATATGATATATATATATATATATATACACACATATATACCTTGTTGTGATTTACTCTTGCAAGATTTGCATTTGCAGCTACAACTAGCTAGGGGGAGCTGCAGAACTCAAAATACATACTGTTTGTTAAGGTCACATGACTTTCAGTGACAACAATGGTAATACCATTAGGAGACATAAGATGGTGCCAATAACACACATACAGCCAAACAAGCCGTATTTAGGAAAACTGAGTTTTATTTAAAACTCAAGAGCTGTTAGACATGAGGTGTCAAGTTTGGCAAAAGATGGAGAAACGTAAGGTCTGCAACAACAGACATATCGCTGATAACTGGCAAAGACGACCCAGCAATGCACCTGGTTACTAAGCAACCGGTGAAAGCCATGATAAAGGAGCATGCTCCAATTAGGAGAGCCTGGAAAATGGTATTACGAGCCATACAAAAACACAAATCCAATAATTACAGTGGCTTACAAGCAGAATAACACATCACACCGAGCTTGTAACCTTGAAAATGTTTTTTTCTGTGTATGCACTTTGTAGCATTGCCAAACAAAACTGTACCTTTATTAACACACGTGCAAAGCTGACGGCAGGGAAATGTAGGGGTTATAGCTAAAAAAAACTTGTATTGAACACAAGTGCACGCACAGACACACACACACAGACACACACACACACACACACACACACACACAGACACACTCTTAAGTTTAGCATTATGCCCATCCATTGCTCATGTAAGTCAGCACTCTTCATAAAGGAAACACAAAGCATGTTAATGCACATCTGTCTTCACAGCTCCATCACATCCAGAGTCCCTATGAGAAGCCCCTTATAGATGACAGATGGAGAGGTGAGCGAGAGAAGTAGTCACTTCCTCTCTGCTCATCATCTCTCAGCAGCAGGCAGTAACACTCCAGAGGTCCAACCCTGCACACTCCTCTTCATTCATCCCTCGTTCACTAGCTGGGCTCAGACAGCTTGTTTAGCTCCACTTTTATGCCCCTTTCACCTGCACCTAAGAGACAAAGAAAGACAAAAATGCTGCTTTTTGCTCTCTATGATAATCCATATGTTATGCAACTACTTAAAGTACACTTCATCCCAAAATAGTGCAAATACTGTCATTTACTCACCCTCATGACATACACACAAGTTTGTAGAATGAAAGTGAGCAGTTACTGGTTACTACATTCAAACATTTGGGTCAGTAAGTTTAAAAAAAAAAATGTTTTAATGAAATTTATGTTTATTTAGCAAGGGCACATTAAATTTATCAAAAGCAACAGTAAAGACATTTATAATGTTACAATTTTTTTAATTTTAAATAAACACTGTTCTTTTGAACTTTCTATTCATGAAAGAATTTCTAAAATAAAAAAGCATCAGTTTCCATAAAAATATTAAGCATATTTTCAACATTGATAATATAAAAAAAACTATTATTATTCATATTATATTAAATATTAAACCATTCTTGAGCACCAAATTAGCATATCAGAATGATTTCTGAGGGATCATGTGGCACTAAAGATTGGAGTAATGGCTGCTGAAAATTCAGCTTTTCCATCAGAGAAATAAATTACAATTAAAAATATATTAAAACAGAAATATATATACAGATATATATATATATATTTTTTTTTACAATTTTATATTTTTTACTGTTTGATCAATTAATGCAGCCTTGGTGAGACTTGTTTTAAAATCATTTTTAAATATATATATATATATATATATATATATATAAAAGAGCTGTCAGTTTAACGCGTTAACTTAATTAATTAGTAATGAAAAATAACGCAATTAAAATATTTTAGTGCACATGTGATTTTATACAACAGTTCAGTAAATAAGAAGTTATTATTGTGCTATATTTTAAACACAATACTGTGTGTTTTTGTTAAATTTTACCAACGAAAATATTATCTTAAAAACCACAGCAGAACTGTTGTGCGTCTGTGAGCAACACAGCGATGTTTAGTTTCTGAACAAATCCTGTGAACCAATGATTCTAAGCCCATTCATAGAGAGGCAACACCTGCGTCCCAATGTGCATACTATCCATCCTAAATTCTATGTGATACTAGTAATTTTCAATAATATTTAGGGCAGAGAGTGTGGATAGTATGCACATTGGGACGCAGGGGTTTACTTCATTCCTGAATCAATCAGCCGTTTGAACGAATCGACTCATAGAGACATTTACCGCCACCTGCTGGTCGTTTAAGTTTCTTGTTTAGAGTATCATTTCAATTATTAAAAAATTTTATAAATAAAGAATAAGAAATAAGATAAATAAGAAATAAGAAATTTACAGACAGCAAAACTGTCAATTAAGAAGGAATCAGTCAATGGAAGTGCCTGGTCATGTTTGAGCAGATCTCACCTGTTAGATATTTCTCTTTAGCTCGAGCTCGTTCATCAGCGTCAAAATACCACACCGTTATAGCATACCTGCACATAAATACACACATAATTGTATATAAGCACGAGCAGCTTAAAGGACTAACTTACAAAATGAAATGTCACTATCACTGACCTTGTGGCATAAGCCGGCTGGACCTCATGTGGGTTCCGTCTGTCTGACCAGAAGAGCAAAAGTCTGTCAAACTTGGGCTCAATGTCTGCAAACTGAGCAGTTCCCTCTGGAAAGATCCGCAAAAGGCCACCGTGTTCCTATAGAGTGAGCAGATGAGAATGGATGTATATAGTTTAATGGACACCTTCACATGACTACATTTTAAAACTTCTTAGGTATGTAAGTGGTTAAAATTATTAGAATTGGAACAGATAACTGATACCGAATGTACTAAACTCAGTGTGAAGACAGCAGGCAAATATATAAGAAAAACAAACAATGAAATAGTTCAGAGAATGAAAGTTAATATGCAGCATTAAAGCATGTCAACATATTCTGTTACACCAAATACACAGAATAATGATCTTTAAAAAAGCATCATATGACCCCTTTAACACAAAAGAGAAGAGTTTTCGACTAGACAGGTGATCTAAACATTTTAGCAATCCGCTCACATTAAAAAACACAGCTAATAAATAAATAATTCCACATAAAGTACAACAGAAATACAACTTTTTTTTTTAAATATAATGATTTGATTTTTATCACATTAAAAACTACCATAATGTATAAACACTTGGGAGAACTTAGTACATTTTTCCTCAGCTGTACTGAATTGTACATGAAAAATGATTAAAATCGTACACTTGCATTAAAAACTGTCGCCATATCAATGAACTAAATCAATATCAGTTCACTTCAAATAAAAACATACAAATATAATGCATATAACACACTTAATTCATAAAAGTTATTATAACTAAATGATTATATTAAATATAATAATTACACACACAAACACAATTAATATTTAAGAGTAAAACATTATTAATTTTAAACAAAGAGACAAACAACAATTATAAAAGTTTTGAGTCAGTAAGAGTTTTTATTATTGAAAGAAATGAATACTTATTCAGCAAGGGTGCCTTAACTTGATCAAAGGTGATACTGGTAAAGACAACATAAATAAATGCTGTTAGTTTTCACACAAATATTAAGAAACATTGCTAATAATAAGAAATGGTTCTTGAGCAGCAAATCAGCATATTAGAAGAGTGATTTCTGAAGGATCATGTGACACTGAAGACTGAAGTAACGATGCTGAAAATTCAGCTTTTTAAAAAATATATGACAATAGAAAAGTTATTTTAAATCGTAATAAAATTCCACAATATGTGCAGCCTTGGTCTTTCAAAAACATTCAAATTCAATTAGAAATTCAAAAAACAGCTCTTTCATTCACACAAAACAATGTTGTGGATGGGAAAACTCTGGGAGGGAATGTCTTTTTTCCTGCCCCAGGACAACCTGATGTTAAATTTAGCTTAAAGAAAAAGAAAAAAAAAATCTGACACACTGACTATGACTTTTACATAAGCCAAGACAACATGGAACAAGCAGGTTTGCGTGAGACGGCTATTTTTTCTCTCCATTCAGTGGAGGGGGTGCGATATGAGAGGGAGAGTGCTAGAGTTTATACCATGTATTACTGGCATCCTGTGCAGCTTGAGAAAGACGGAAAATATTAGGGTTGAATGTATGTGTGATGTGATCCATCCTTAAAACACCTCTCTGATAAATAAACATGACTGAAGCCTGAGCCTCAAGCAAAGAGTACGTTCAGCCTGTAGACTAAACACTACAAACCAAACTACATCCTTCTTTCCCTTCTACCATCCCTATATCTGCCATGTGCTACTGGCCAACTCTATTTCAATTTTCTACTTCATATAAGAACATCTGATCAACACTCGGAATGGTTTTCCATGGCCTGTCAGAATGTTCTAGAGCAGAAGCGGCCCTCTGATGCAGAACTGGCCGTAGAGCTGGCAGGTGACAGAGGTGGTAGAGCACAGTTCCCGTGAGAGCGCTCACCCAAAAATGAAAATTCTGTCATCATTTACTCATCCTCAAATTGTTCCAAACCTGTATGAATTTCTTTCTCCTTCTGCTGAACACTTCAAAAGAAGTTTTGAAGAATGTGGGTAACCAAAGAGTTGTTGGTCTCCAATAACATCCATAGTATGGCAAAAACAATATGGAGGCCAATGGAGACCAGAAACTGTTTGGTTACCCACATTCTTCAAAATATCTTCTTTTGTGTTCAGCAGAAAAAAGAAATTCATACAGGTTTGGAACAACAATAATAGTCGTTTGTCAGTCTGACTACAGTAGTTGAGGTGTGTTTGTTTTTTTGCAGTGACATTATTTTACAGTACAATTATGATTACATGTATGAAGATGGCGTACAAATACATAAATATTAAAAATAATTTTTAAAATGAATTTTCACATTAATTACAAATCCAACGCAAACCAAAGTTTCACTGTTCTAGCAGACTTCTAATAGCAGCACCTAAACAGTCTCTCGTGTGGCCTATTGATGTAAAGTACCAACAGCAAACTCCCTGCAGAAGGTTGGTTTTGAACTTCCATTGTATTGAATGTAAGCTCAGATGCAAGTTTGAGCAGTCTACATCAGATAAGAAACCCAAACAAACGGAGAAGGGCTTAAACAAATCTCATGAAGCTTTACACGCTACAGAAAATATACAAGTTCACTGGCTGAAAAAAACAAAAAACTCCTACCTTGGCATCCCAGTTTTTATTTAGGTAATATATGCATGTGATACATCTCCCATCACCGTTTGGGTTATCCACATGCCGTACATATCCTGTCCCATTGCCAGGGTAACACGCCACCATTGCCTGGAAGGAAAAACAGGGGTTGTTTTAGTAATGGGCCAAAATAACCAATCAAAAGAACATACAACGACAGACCATTTGCAGTGGTTTGGATGGTGAACGCTCTCTAGAAGACGAAATTAAACTTTCCATTCTTTCCCGTCATTAGATCATATTTCATTAACGCATATTCACAGTACTATTCACATTTTTTCATTATATAAATATATATATATATATATACATACATACATACATACACACACACACACACACACACTTATATTAGTGAAGACAATTTTCAAATAATATTCATTTATTTAGGTGATATAAGAAAAAAAAATCATAAAGCTTTAAATGGATTTATTCACCATATCAGTATTTGGCATACCACCTTTCATTCCAAATTATAGACAAATCTTTGTTGTTTTTCATTTACAATGAGAATAATGAAAATTACTGAACTAAAATCTAAACTGAAACATTCAGATGCATTGAAGAGAATAAAGGCAAAGGCAAAAAAAAAAAGATTCTACACAGGCTTATGAAAAATATTATAGAGTGAAATAATGAGATTCACTGTTAATCCGTATTTGTGTAATGCAGTTCAGATCATTGAATTCCACGATACCGCAGCGCACAACTACACGAATCTACATGCAGTTAAAAAAATAAGGTGACAACTGTGATATTCTCAGCCCTGTGATGATTATATCTTTTAATCTTGTTGAATCTGGGTTATGAGGCTGAGGGAACAATGAAGCCATTGCTGAAGTCTTTTCTTTTGCTTAGGGTTTTTCCTTTCCTGCTCTTCCTCTGCCCCTTTTATTTTGGTCTCCGGGTTTACATGGAAAGTGTTAATTAATCACAAAGGAAAAAATAGCAGTGTAAATCTATTTGTGCACACAGACACATCCGTTATCAGGACAGTGTTACAAAAGAGAGAACGAGTCAAAAGCTCATAAAAAAAAAAAAATGAGATAGTCCATCAGCCCATGACATGTGACCTGCATGTGACTCGGTTAAACTACATTTCTGAAGCAAACAACACGCACTTCCTTATAATTAGAAGTTTAAAAATAACTTGGTTGGAGAATATTCCTATCCAAGCATGAAAACATGTCAAACTTTGAACAAGACTGTGATTAATACCAGTGTTCACCTTTAAATCATGAACAAAACATTTCAAACAAGCATGACCACCCAATAAACACTTAATTATCAGAACCTTTGGGCCAATACTGTGAGCCGTGTTTCTGCAAAATGAAGGAAAAAAACCCAACAAAGAAAGGACAGTCAGACCGGCTCTCTGATATCGACCCCCTCCGGGAACTCGCTTTTTGCCTTCTTTTTCACCAACTTCTGCACGTAGGCTCCTGAATCTGATCAGTTCACTGACAGTTCATGACCTAACACACTATTTATAAGCAGCATTAGCCCAGCAGGGAATTTTTAGGCCTTAACTTAACCCTCTAACCCTAACCCTACAGCATAATGTCACAGGGACCGAGACGTCTTCCCCAGAGAAACGACATCAGCGTGTTTTCCACTGAGAAAAAAAAAGAAGATAAACAGGATAAATACATTTATTAAAATATATTAAATTTACTTAATACAAATTTACATAGCGAAATATAAAATCTATATATAATATAAAATGTGTTCGAATTATAAAGTGTTTTTATTTTGAAATGAACAAATTTCTATAGTTGAAGTACTAAAAGAGAGGGAAAAATTGGATTAATTAAATAATATATAACATGTTATACTGCTAATCAGCATCTATTTTTTCTAAAAAATAAAAAAATAACATTAAATGTGAACCAGACCAATATTGAAATTATTGAATATTGATAATGATAAGCCAATAATTATTTTCATATTATTCCCAGTAATTGATAAATTGCTGATCTATCAATCTATATTACTAAAAAAAAAACTTAAAATGAAAAAAAAACACATTAAAATTATTAGCTTGTATGCGACAAGTAAATTTAGGCATTGCAACATTATTATACAGTATAAAAGATGGATAAATATTCCTTTTTAAATCTGTTTAAAAATACACTGTTTACATTAAACAAAAAATAAATTCTCAAAATAAGAGATGAGAGCCCTCTGGAATACTGGTTAGATAGTCATCTCTCAGTGCTTGATGATGGCAATGGCAAATATATTGGCCAATAATAAATAACTCAATAAATATCTAATTCCTCGACAGTAATTTACAGTGTATTATTCTGCAGCATATGTTCTTACAGATGATTCATACAGATTGTTGCCTTACTGAAGTATTTACTGAAACTGTGACTACAGAATCATGATACCATACATACATACATACATACATACATACATACATACACACACACACACACACACACTTATATTAGTGAAGACAATTTTCAAATAATATTCATTTATTTAGGTGATATAAGAAAAAAAAATCATAAAGCTTTAAATGGATTTATTCACCATATCAGTATTTGGCATACCACCTTTCATTCCAAATTATAGACAAATCTTTGTTGTTTTTCATTTACAATGAGAATAATGAAAATTACTGAACTAAAATCTAAACTGAAACATTCAGATGCATTGAAGAGAATAAAGGCAAAGGCAAAAAAAAAAAGATTCTACACAGGCTTATGAAAAATATTATAGAGTGAAATAATGAGATTCACTGTTAATCCGTATTTGTGTAATGCAGTTCAGATCATTGAATTCCACGATACCGCAGCGCACAACTACACGAATCTACATGAAGTTAAAAAAATAAGGTGATAACTGTGATATTCTCAGCCCTGTGATGATTATATCTTTTAATCTTGTTGAATCTGGGTTATGAGGCTGAGGGAACAATGAAGCCATTGCTGAAGTCTTTTCTTTTGCTTAGGGTTTTTCCTTTCCTGCTCTTCCTCTGCCCCTTTTATTTTGGTCTCCGGGTTTACATGGAAAGTGTTAATTAATCACAAAGGAAAAAATAGCAGTGTAAATCTATTTGTGCACACAGACACATCCGTTATCAGGACAGTGTTACAAAAGAGAGAACGAGTCAAAAGCTCATAAAAAAAAAAAAATGAGATAGTCCATCAGCCCATGACATGTGACCTGCATGTGACTCGGTTAAACTACATTTCTGAAGCAAACAACACGCACTTCCTTATAATTAGAAGTTTAAAAATAACTTGGTTGGAGAATATTCCTATCCAAGCATGAAAACATGTCAAACTTTGAACAAGACTGTGATTAATACCAGTGTTCACCTTTAAATCATGAACAAAACATTTCAAACAAGCATGACCACCCAATAAACACTTAATTATCAGAACCTTTGGGCCAATACTGTGAGCCGTGTTTCTGCAAAATGAAGGAAAAAAACCCAACAAAGAAAGGACAGTCAGACCGGCTCTCTGATATCGACCCCCTCCGGGAACTCGCTTTTTGCCTTCTTTTTCACCAACTTCTGCACGTAGGCTCCTGAATCTGATCAGTTCACTGACAGTTCATGACCTAACACACTATTTATAAGCAGCATTAGCCCAGCAGGGAATTTTTAGGCCTTAACTTAACCCTCTAACCCTAACCCTACAGCATAATGTCACAGGGACCGAGACGTCTTCCCCAGAGAAACGACATCAGCGTGTTTTCCACTGAGAAAAAAAAAGAAGATAAACAGGATAAATACATTTATTAAAATATATTAAATTTACTTAATACAAATTTACATAGCGAAATATAAAATCTATATATAATATAAAATGTGTTCGAATTATAAAGTGTTTTTATTTTGAAATGAACAAATTTCTATAGTTGAAGTACTAAAAGAGAGGGAAAAATTGGATTAATTAAATAATATATAACATGTTATACTGCTAATCAGCATCTATTTTTTCTAAAAAATAAAAAAATAACATTAAATGTGAACCAGACCAATATTGAAATTATTGAATATTGATAATGATAAGCCAATAATTATTTTCATATTATTCCCAGTAATTGATAAATTGCTGATCTATCAATCTATATTACTAAAAAAAAAACTTAAAATGAAAAAAAAACACATTAAAATTATTAGCTTGTATGCGACAAGTAAATTTAGGCATTGCAACATTATTATACAGTATAAAAGATGGATAAATATTCCTTTTTAAATCTGTTTAAAAATACACTGTTTACATTAAACAAAAAATAAATTCTCAAAATAAGAGATGAGAGCCCTCTGGAATACTGGTTAGATAGTCATCTCTCAGTGCTTGATGATGGCAATGGCAAATATATTGGCCAATAATAAATAACTCAATAAATATCTAATTCCTCGACAGTAATTTACAGTGTATTATTCTGCAGCATATGTTCTTACAGATGATTCATACAGATTGTTGCCTTACTGAAGTATTTACTGAAACTGTGACTACAGAATCATGATACAAACCGAACTGTGAGAAATCTGAACCATTACAGCCTTTTTACATACACACCCTTTCACTCATAAGAACACAAGCACACAGAGCTGCTAACAACAGTACACGTCCTCCCTTAACATCTCTCCCCAGCTTCCTGAGGCCTATAACTCGATATAACTCGATATTAGATTTCCAGTGAAACAGCGTCATCATTCCAGGAGAACAGAAGACAGCTGAGGAAAGCAAACACATGCTGAGAACAAATCTGAAAGCGACTGCACATGAGGACCTTTTTCCTAGCAGCATAACCGTTAGCGGTGCTGAGGTGTGGCCGACTGTAAACCACTCATCTCAAGTGGAAGATGAGGAATGCAGGAGACACAGAAAGGCCAGACTAGGGTCAGTTAGTAAGACGATGACTATTGTTATTACTTTTCGGTTTAGTTCATCAGGAATTCACCGTTCGTTTACACCTCGACTTCTTTGAAAAGGGGCGTTTATGATGAACATGTTTCCAGCCAAATCCTGCAGCCTGCAATGGCACGCAACGCACGTCGGATCACAATACATGTGACGACATTTCAACCTAACTGTGTTTTCCCTGGCAGCAGGTGCAAA